GGAGGTTCAGGGTGTGACTCCCCACGGAAACCATCTATTTCGGTTTGAGTAGCAAGACAGTATCTTAGCTCATTCAAAAATTCAGTAATTTATATGAAATCCAGCTAATGGATTAGGATGAAAAGAATATGAGATACTCAAATTGTCTACATCGTCAAACATATCATGCAAAAACATGTGAATAAACAAAAGTCTCTTTCATATTACATTTTTTCGCTTGGTTATATATGTATTGGTTATTGTAATATAACATTTATGTATTAATTACCATAAATTCTAAAGGTTAAGCTATTGTCACAGCTAGTTCTCTTGAGCATTCTGTTATGACATCGAGTTTCCTAGTCCGATATGGATATACAAATTTTCTTATAAGCAAGCTCCAACCAGCTACTAAGTCGAATGAATGAAGGAGAAAGTTCATTGATCTAACTAGATTGAATTAATTGTATGTCTACTTCTTAAAGAATAAAACCACCTCTTTGGATAATAACGTGCTATCATCATTGAAAGATTTTTGACTAAAACAACGTGACATTTTCATTTGGTAACTTCAGACTTGGATCATATTGAGAAGACTGAGGCAGGCGAGAAAGATTGTATTATGCAAATTTACACTCTGAGTCAGTTAAAAACGAAAACCTTACATTGAATACTCTATTTGCACACCATCTTTGAGTTGTGACTTCCAACGCTCCATCCTTCTTCCATTCCTGTTGTTGCTTCCTTTCCTTCCTGTTGGTACTCCATTTACTTCTTGCTTTTGCTCCATTTGCTTTCCGTTTTCCTCTTCTGACCGTGAGACTTCTTCTTTCACGTCCCTTCTTATACTACTTATATCGTTCGTATAAGTAGCACACACCACAATATCCTTCGTTTCTTTTTGGTTATTTGATAAGGAATCTGTAGATTACTTAAAATTAGAACACTCTAACAGAAGTTTTATAATCAAGTATGGTTTAATTTTTATACTATTATTCTTCTTGTAATGAATATAAATTACTCTTATTGATTTTTTCGTTGTTTATTTCCCTAGGTACTTTCCACATGTTCACATTTCTTACGTTTAGCTATCTTAGATCCAATTATTATGCCAGATACAATGTCATCCATAACTGATGATCATATATTTGGTAGGACAAAAAATGCTACACCGAAAATTTTATTAAAACGTATGGGATGGGCATCGTTTATTTCACAATATCATGATTATGCTAACAATCAATGGATTAATGTTGATTTGATTGCTGTAAAAAATCAATTAATTGAACATGCGGTCAGTTGTGGTGAGGCTTCAAATGATTTAATTGAATGTTTACGTTTATCACGACCGATATTGGATCATTTAAAAGTGCCACATGAAGAACGTGCTCGAAAAAATGGACATTTATTTGATAAATTATTAAATGCATGCCCAACTCGTATTCGTTCAAAAGCATTAGCACGTCGTCATTTAGTGATAGCAGCTCGTGTTATTAATGAATTTGACAAAGCTAGAGGTTTATGGTTAACAACAGAATGTGAAACTCGAGATAATAGAGTGAATGATAAGAATCTGTCAAGTGGTGGTGATGATAAAGAAGAACTTGGCAATTCGAGACAACATCACGGAGAAGTTTCCTCTGTCGGCGCTGATGATGGTGAAGAAGAAGGTGAAGACGGTGGTGGTACTGCTAATGAACGAAAGGAGAACAATAACAGCAACAACAATGAAGAGACGTCGACAATCAATAAGTCATCGCTTCAAAATACTTTAAATGAAAATGATATCAGCCGTACAACTAATCAAGATCAGTCAATGGATATAGATCAATCTGTTGAAAATGATGAAACATTGGGTAAGGAATGTTTTTGTTTAATAATCCAATTTTAGTATGATAGTAAGTGATCATACTGATTTTATTTGCAATAGTACAAAAAATTGTAGATACTTATTTTAATTAGTTTTTAACAGTAGCATACAACATTCTGATATATGATTGAGAGTTTGAGAAACACCAGAGTCTCTTGTTGATGATGATGAAGGTAAAACGCTTTTTTGACATAATCTTCGATATTCAAATTAAAAGTGAAATTGTTAAGAGAATGTTCAAAGGAATAAAAAAAATTCTTCTAAAGTACAAAAATATCATTTCGTTTTGCATCTTACTGAATCTTCACTGAAAGATAAGCATATAGTTTTTAAAATCAATTGTTTGGTTCATTTGCTGATAATAAAATATCAGAATTCATTTATTCTTGAGGCTATTTAGGCCTAAACTGTTAGGATATTCATCAAATATCCTAAGAGAATTATTTTTGTGAGTTTAATTCTATTGGTCAATCCCTACTGGTCAGTATTATGGTCTTCCCTAGCTATCAATGTCACTTCAAATGTTGTTTCATATTCAACCTAACGTTTTATGACCCGGATCCGTAGTCCAATATCCTGACTCTCCTCTGAACTCGGACCTCATGGTTTCTGGATGCTTGTAGAATACATGTTCTACTTCATATCAAGTCTTCTTCTTTTACTCAATGAGGGGTTGGGACACTCGGATTAGAGTAGCATGTCGTGTCACCGGATCCTCGATCCTCGCTCTCGTTTTCCGACTAAGGTAAACTCGTAATAGTTCAAGCATATCAAATGACGTGTTTACGTGCATGCGTAACATAAACTCTATTATTTTAAGTTACTTTATACTATTAATCTCCACTGTTCACATGCTTAAATCTACCCAAATTGTGTAGTTTAGTGCAGTGTGATGCAGTTATCAACTCGCTAAATGACAATTATCATCTAAAATAAGGTGTGTTTGATCGTAATGGTAGTTTTTATAGATGGTTGACTCAAGTTATTGCAGTCACTGTCAATTATTCAGATTTGAACATGATATGATCCAGCAAAAATGCTCATGTCCAACCTTTTCATAGTTTACGTTAGTAAATCAGGGAGTTAGCGTGAAAAATGGGGAGATTCGAAAATGGTGTTGACGACAATTTTGAAATTCAATATGGAAAAATGGGTAGAAAAATACATAATTATACTTTTTTTTTAATAAGTTTAGAGCGAGATAGACTATGAATATAGGCATTCCGGACTATAGCATATTATGAGCACGTCTCTAAATATACAGTATGGTTGCTTGAAGTTAGTATTTCCTAACACGACTTAGAACAATGTTTGATGACTTTGTGACCTGAAACTATATCTTGGTTTGTCTATTTAATATTTTCAACCTAATTTTATGGTAGCCAGATTGCTGAGTTAAGTATTTCATAGCTTGGCGTATCTAAAAAAGCTGTCAGCCATTTCAGTCTACCATTTTTCTCAGCTTTGACATACCATTCAACAACTTGACTCTACATTTAACAGCAACGTTGCTTGTCGATTGTTCAACTAGTTAAGAGTAGTGTGTCTTAATATCTAAAATGAAAGGTTGGATATCTATTCGTAGCTTCTAATCCAAAAGGCAATGCTACATAGTGGTGCAGAATAGACTGCTGTGCTTTATACTCACGTTTTGATACACGAGCGTGTGAAGCTTCATTGCTGATAGAATTCTAAAGATAAGTGAAATGGTCGACATACTCAGTTATCTCCTTATTATCAGGCTGGACATCGACATAAACCAATCCTAAACCATCTCGGATTCAAGGAAGGCAAATAAATCCCAAATGCCTCCTAATAAATTGCCTCTTTCATCGAATAGATAAATGTCAAAATCATCCTGAAGGTAATGGGGCAATACCAACTAAGGTGAGCATTTACTTTTGACTGATTTTTCTTAGCGGCCTAAATTTCTCTTTTCACTGTGTTCCTTGTGTAACGATTCACTGAAATTTTAAAATGCTTTTCTTTTACGGAATTATTATTTAATATGCAGAAATGAATTTTTTGATGATAGGTGGATACTACTCGCGACGTGGTTTCTAAGTAGTATGCAACCAAGTATCGCTCAAATGCTACTACCGGAAAGAAGTGTCAGATCGGAATTATTATTATTATTTCATATGCGAAAATAAAGCTTTTAATGATAGGCTTTCCAATAATATATCAGTCGTCACATTCAACACACACGTACAAATGTTATGGTTGGTATATGGGCATCTTGTATGAATTACCTCAATATAGCCGTTGTGACACAAGTTGATATAGAACTAGTGGAGTATAGTCAGTAGTGAAATCCAGGCCACATGTTTCATCTAATTTGGGACTCATCAACTGAGTACACCTGGATTCCATTTATTGTGTTGTAATGACTATATGGAGGTGATCCATACATGATATCCATATGCCAACCAAGACTGGTCGAATTTCAGTTAAAAAATATCAACAACGGGATATTCCATACTCGTTACACAAAAAATTTGCTATCAGGACTAAATAGCTAATTGGTTGAGTCAGACGGTACTACTCGCGACGTAGTGTGCAGCGGAGTTTCGCTCAAAAGTTACTACCGGAAAGAGTTGTCAGATCGGAATGCATAAAGTGATCAAAATGTTTTGAAAACAAGAAGATATGTGGAAGAAGACAGTCAATAATCTGTTTGTTTTACAAATGGAAGTATAAAGATTAGGTGTACTTATTTAGTTATCGAACCATTTCTTTCCTAGATATATTACTGGTCTGTCTAGTCTTGATATCTTCGTTCATTACACTGGGTTTGAGTTTCAGTGTGAACCTCAACTCTAGGATACAGGTACATCCATCTGACGAGTCCAAAAAAGGATGAAACACGTATTCTGGATTTCACTGCTAGGCATATTCCATCTGTTCTGTTCAAATGTCAATTAATTACTATTACTTTTTGAAGTTTAAATCCTTAGAATAAACATTTACCATTGTTTTAGAATTGTTTTTTTCATTTCATATACTGTTGTTATTTTTACAATAAAACAAAAAGATGATTTAAAAGGGAAAGAATCATCTAATCAGAAAACGTATAAATCATCATCAATGCAAGATAGTAAAAATTCTAGTGACGTATCTATGCTTTCAGATGATGATAAACAGGCTGATTTTATCGATCCTGGTGATGATTTAATCAAAGCGGCAAATATATTGAATAGCATTAAAACAACAAATCCATTTTTACAAGGTTTAACTGATTATCTTGTTGACGAAGGAAATGCGGAAGAAGAACTTCTTTTACTCGGTAGGTAATTCTCAGTACTTACTTAATTTTATAAATTGCCATAGAAATATGAATCATTTTTGTGATAAATTTAAGAGATAGATGTTATTGATATTCATTGTAGAACAGTGAAGTTCAACCCTGTCGGGCGTAGGCATTAACTGTCGAAGACAATTGTTAGGATTGCACAAAACCTTAGATTGATCAAAGTTAGACAATAATAACACGAGTGGATGCCGACTCAGTGGTCTATAGGTTGAGCGTTCGCGCGCAAAATCGATGGTCTTAGGTTCGATTCCTGCGGTCAGGGTTCATAG